GATTATATTTGCATGACTGGTACTTCTGGATTGATGTGCTGTATAAACTGTTTATCAGGAAATGCTTCTGAATGGGATTGGAAAATCCCCAGTTGTCCGATTTATAGAGGAAACTCTGTCCGATTTTCGTTTACGTCGAATGAGAATTAAAAAGAAAAAGAAAAAGTTAGCTCGTAATTTCGTAAGTTAAGTCTTCCGCTGTATCTGTTTATATCATATGCATGTTAATTGAACCGGCTCGAGACGAGGATGTTATAATATTTAATTTCATATTTCAAGTGATCTCATTATAACTTGGAACTAATCTGGAGTAACTTATGCGCAATTGCAAACGATATTTATCGAACCAACGTATAGTCAGTGGGGGTGTAAGTTGTCTTGGAATTGCTTGCTACAGGAAAAATAAATAGCATACCTTAAAAATTCAGCAAATTTCAATTTTCCTTGGTACCATAGACGGCTTTAAATTGACAATTGCCTTACAAAATAGGGCAGTGGGGGTGTAAGTCAAAGACAAATAGACAGGCTCCTATCAAATCCCAAAGGCAGAGAGGTCTATTATTACTGATATGTAGCCCATTATGGGGATGATTTTGTTGGTGGTGTATATATAGGCTATTGACTTTTTGTTTTGAGTAAAATTTCATTTTTATCTTTGAAAGGTTGGTCCTCCATTAATGGATGGATGCTAATAATACTAAATGAGTTTTTTTTTAAATGATAATGGCATAAATTTTGCTCAGAGAAAAACCAATTTGAAGGCACTTGAAGGACTAGTTAGATGATATTAATTGTTATTGAAGGATACTTTGATGTAATTATAGAGATGACCGCTCTAATTCCGCATTCTCATTACCCTGTAAGGGAAAAAAAGAAGTGTAATGTTATTTTCCTTTTACATGATACAAGTAATTTTCCTAAACAAACATAAAAGTGGGCCCATCAATTCTTTTACTTTTCTTTTATTTGAAAAATAGTGGACCCCACAATCTTTTGTCTCTATGACATGGCCTAAGAACTTTCCTACAACATAATATTAGTTTTTCCAAAAAAAAAATCATTGAAATCACGAGTTTGATCTGAGAAGAGTCGGAGAATCCCTATTCTCATGACTCATATGTTACATTTACATTTTACAAAGCATTCATTCATTCATCACGTGGGTCCTGTCCATAACTCAGCCATGCAAGATGTGACGCCGCGCTTGCTTTATTGATGGGTTTTCATTCGGTTTTCGGTGCACTCTCTATATAGAGGTCTCTTTCTAAGAATCGTGCCCATCGTTTGAGAATTTGAGAGCAAACAAAAATTGGCTCATCCTCATCCTTATTCAATATAATAATAACACGCATGCATGTACCCAATAATAATAATAATAATAATAATAATTACTAGAATAGAGTATATGGTATGAATTGTAAGTCGTGGCATTAACTTGTATGTAGTTATTACTAGTTTGAAAATTAATTGAATAGTTAACGTTAATTACTTGTATAAATAGGACTTAAAGAGTTCTAATTCATTAGTAAAGTCATTGTACGTTTACTGGAAAAAAAAAGTCATTGTAAAATAAGATTAAGAATCTTATAAGGCTAGAGAACTAAGTTCTTTACCATTCAACCTTTTTTCCCCCTGAGTATACATATGTAAGATGAAAAAATTAAAATAATGTAATATTTTCGAGTTCTTGCCTTAGCCTTGTGGGGCTTTTGTGACCCATATTTTCGATCCAGATCAAAAGTAATATTGTAATGATTCAAAAATAAATTTCAAAGTGCAATTATGTAAGTTTTTTTTTCTTACTATCCTGTTCATTGAAAATTCAGCTAGTACGATTCAAGCACAAACCCGTATAGAGAGCAATTTTTTCAAGATTATTTTTTTCATTTTTAAAACTTGAACTCAATACTCTGATTAAAGAAATAAACTCTTTATCAATTAATTAAACAAATCAATGGTTACTGATAGAATATCTTATGTTTTTGTATCTTCAATTTTTTTTATGTTTAGCATTTCTATGAATTAACTGAAGCCTCATTTTTTTATGTTTGATCTGATCCTTCCGTATATAGAGATTACAAACTTCATTTCCATCTACTCTGCTTTTTAAACGTTCAACGCACCGTGTCTGCCAGCCCAACCTCTTCTGTCCTATGATAAACTACCAATCAAACCATTTTTCATTATGGAGATTGGTAGTTCAAAATTCAAATACAACAACAGTAGTTGCTTTGGTTTGTGTATCTTTGACATCAAAAGTTAAAACTCTGGTTTATTTAGTTTATGGAAATATAGTTTTTCGTGTTGCACACGATAAATTTGTCTCATGCCACTCACAAAAAAATTATATGAGAACCGCTTATCTTCTTTTTATTTTTTTTCTCTTTGGTGGATTTCATTCACTTTTTTGTGTGTTGCACGAGATCATTTGTCTCATGCAATATGAAACTATATTCCCTTAATTTATATATCTAGAATGTGTCCTTAATCTTCAAAAAGAATATCATGGTTACTAATTAAATAGTATAATGATGCATCCTTGATATTTAATTCCACAATTATTCTCATTAATTATTGTCACTAATTAATGGCATATACCTACTTTATTCTTCATCAAAAGCATATGGCATAAAAGATTGTAACAAAGAGTCTCATCATTGAGCTAAGGGGATGAATTCACACAATTTTTATGATCTTTCCCTTGCTTTTCATGAAAGCTGTGATTTGATGAGACATAAGTAGTTTTGATTAAATTAATGGATATATGTGACATGTGACAATCTCAACCATCAATATCAACGTGACCAACCAATTTAGTTGCATTCAGCAATTTCACTGTCTATTAATTCTATACTCACGTTCATCTTGTTGTTTAGTCTTTTGTTTCATTGAAACTTTCAAGCCACTCGCAATATTGGCTTTCAAATCTACTCTATATACTCATCCTCAACCCCCAAATGATGTAAAACATAATCGCCGAAAGCATCAATCATATGCTTATTGTTTTCTAAGCAAAAGAAAACATGCTTTATGTTTGATAAGAAATAAATTAGAATGATGTGAAGGACATTAATTAATTTCCCAACAACCATATATATTCACATAAAAATGAGGTCCATTTTGAGGTATTATACATTCTAACACTTATATTAAACTTTTTTAATAAGGCATCATCATTTTTTAGTGGCTTTTTGTAAGAAAAGGTTGGAGATTCTGCTAGCTGGTTGCCATAAGTTGATTCCCACTGACCTTCTTCCTGTAACCAATAAATCTCCACTTCTCTTTCATTAACTACTTAGTGAAGGTTAATTAACATTGATTGAATGGAATGTTACACTTAAATGGTGATTCACACTAATGAATAGTTTCTAAATATCCACATATAATGTAGTTTTTTAATTTCCTGAATAATAATTATTCGGTCCTAATGAATCGTAACGATATACCGTATAATATGCGCTCAGAGATATCTTAGATAGGTATCCATATCAGCTTATAGTCAATACTCCAATCACTGCGCACAAACAATAGGCTTATAGACAAGGCTGAGTGTGTGCACAGTATTGGCTGGCAGCAATAGTAAATAAGTCAGAAAGTGTATACCTGGGGTCTTAAGCCATGTATTTATAGGGTTACTTCTTGGGCTGTGTAGATCTCTCAGTTAGAGTAGGATTTAACTCCTTTTCTGTAGGAACAGGGATTCTATCCTCAGTAGTTTTATTGTTTTATGGTGTTAGAATAATTGGATCATTGTCCTTTAAGAAATTCTTGGATAGGTAATTAAGATATGGATATATTCCATAACAATAATAATAATGTGTAACAGTTGTGTACTGTGGCGCTCAGGTGATCATTGCCCTGCTCTTTGATTTTTAGAACTTTCTTATTCAATGTTTGGAGCATTATCAGAAAGGTGGGTGCAGGAAGGGAGTTAGTTCATGCACTAGTAACTTTTCTCATTAATAATTTGTCATACAAGTTGATTCATATATAATTATATATGCACCGTAATCGTGAGAAATAAATGCATATTGGTTTGAATTTTCTCTTTTTTTTTTCTGTTTGTTTTGTCATTCAAATCCAAAGTTGTCAGCATTCTAAAAGACAAATTAAAACTCAAGCAATTCAACAACCAGAGACAAAGCAAGCAGAAAGAGTTATCAGCATCACCGAAGTGGATAACCATACCATGTCATTGGCAGTCTCGTGACTATATTTTTAACCCCAACAATAGATAATTCAATATGTCAAAAACTTGAAGATAATTGACAATGAAAATTTAGGGGAGTGAGTGACAATAGCACAAGGGCAATGACTCAGATATCATCACAACCACATGGCATCATCTTAGTGGAACCATAAATTCATGATTGGTGGTCCTATGAAGTAGTAAAATACCTTTATTCTCCTTCCATATCACACCCAGTTGGCATCCACCACCAAATTTTTTCTCTTTTTTTTGTTCCAAATCATACAAAAAATGGGGTCTACCCCTATATATTAGGACACAATCATTTTCTATTATTTTTTTTAGCAATACCAGCGACACAATCATTGTTCATACTGAATAACATCCTCACCACGAACAAAACTTCAGTGCAACCGTAATTTATTTATATTAGGATAGGTAAGTGGATACTGAAATTTTAGAAATTTGCTCAGAATTCACCTAGATATTCTAAGATAAATGAACTATCACGGTACTAAACTTTAGTACATCGGTAGAACCAAAGATTTTTTCTCTCACCAGTCACCACAAACCCAAAAATATCACCCAAAATCCAATAAGCATAACCAATCCCAAACAAAAGCTTCTAGCTTTCAAAGCTTGCTAAGCTGGCACCAGCTTTTGGCCCCCACAGCCCCCAGTTATTGCTCATTCACGCGTCCCACCACCCTACCATACCCCTCTTCTATGATCTCTCTCTTTCTCATATATATATAAAGACACATACACACACACATTTAAACACATTCCCTCACATCACAAGAAGCACTAATTCTCTCTCTTTCTGTATCCAATATGGCTTATAGTTCTACTCATAATATGCTTATGCTGGTTGGGATAATGGTTAGCACTATGGTGGCAACCTGTGCTGGTAATTTCCACCAAGACTTTGATCTAACATGGGGTGGTAACCGTGCTAAGATATTCAATGGTGATAAGCTTCTATCTCTTTCACTGGACAAAGTCTCTGGCTCTGGCTTCCAATCAAAGAAAGAGTACCTCTTTGGGAGGATTGATATGCAACTCAAGCTTGTTGCTGGCAACTCTGCTGGCACTGTCACTGCTTATTACGTATGTAACCTTTTTTTTTGTTGCAATAATGATATTTATACACCATTATTCACACACTACTTTCTTCTTTAGATAATAAAATAAGAAAAATATAATATATTCCAAGTTCTAATACACACAATTTTTTACCAAACTATAAAGGGTAATAAAATGATAAATTTGAGAATGCAAATAGGTTTTACTATAACAAAACCATACTCGTTCAGGTTCAATTTGATTAGTTTCTTTTCTTCCTCATACTAGCTAACACAATAATACTATAGACTTTGTGTTGTGTGTGTGTGTAACGTCTTTTCCTGTCTTTCAAATATGACCATTATTGACCTGCTTTTTTACACTTTATCGACATCAACGTTTGTCAAACTCAACTGTACATTCACGAGAAGTGCTATTGTAGCAAACCCACAAAAACAAGTTAGGCTACAGAATTTTACTTTGTCAACAACTATTGCTTTATTTATTCATTCCATGGTGCTTTCAAACATTGAACTATACATTAATCAACTCCGTCTTTTTTAAGCAGTGAATTTCACTTGCGCTTGTGACACGGGAATGTACCTAACTTGGACTTAGTCCAAAACATAACTTTTATATTGGAAACTTCATTTCGTAGCATAATTTAATGAAACAAAGATAAAAAAAATGCTTGTGTTGTGTGGGGCTCTCATGGCCGAATCTTCATATAAAATCAATTTTATCATAATATATTTTGTGGTTTTGAATTGATAAAAAAAAACAGGCTTTTTATGAGTTTAAAGCTGTTAAACTGTCCTCCTTGCTATGCATGCACAAAATTTCAAATTCTTGTTACCAAAACAATAAAACTCACAATTCCCCAAAGAAAATTTCCTTTGCTGCCACAACAAAGGCCATATCAATAACTAGAATATTTCCATTTGGTATGTTTCAGTTGTCATCCCAAGGGCTAACACATGATGAGATTGATTTTGAGTTCTTGGGGAACCTAAGTGGTGACCCCTATATTCTCCACACAAACGTCTTCACCCAAGGCAAAGGTAACAGGGAGCAACAGTTTTACCTCTGGTTTGACCCCACCAGAAACTTCCACACTTACTCTATCATTTGGAAGCCCCAACACATCATGTAAGTCAAAATAAAAAATAAAAAATAAAAACATCTTTTATTAATCATAAGTTGTCTATACTTTTCATCAATAACAATTAACCAATTCATCAATTGTGTTAACTGCAGATTCTTGGTTGATAACATACCCATAAGGGTATTCAAGAATGCTGAATCTCTTGGTGTTCCTTTTCCAAAGAACCAACCCATGAGAATCTATTCTAGCCTCTGGAATGCTGATGACTGGGCCACCAGAGGTGGATTGGTGAAAACTGATTGGTCTAAAGCACCCTTTACAGCATATTACCGTAACTTCAAAGCCACTGAGTTCTCATCGAGGTTTTCCAAATCAAATTCTCGTGCTGAATGGCAAACGAACGAGCTTGATGCTTATGGCAGAAGAAGACTGAGGTGGGTTCAGAAGTACTTCATGATCTATAACTACTGCAATGATCTCAAGCGATTCCCACAAGGATTTCCTGTTGAGTGTAGACACTGAAGGTTCTAAGAGATGAAGAATAAAGGTCGTATTTTGAGTTGGATTTGAATGGTCTTTGTAAAATATGTTATGTCTATGTCTTAGATTCTTCAATCTTGCTCTCTTCTTCTTCTTCCTTTGTTTTTTTTTGTTATATCATGTTTCTATTTTATAGTTGTTAATGTATATTA